AGCCGGGGCGGCCGACGCCCACAAATCCTGCCTGTCCGCCCCCTGCCAAGGGCACAACGGCCCCTTTCAGCCCTGGTCTCCGGCAAGGAAAGGTCAGGGAGCTGCTTCGGCATGCAAACACTGTCCTCCCCAGCGGCACGAGACGGGGTCAAGCATCCCCCGAGGGGGCTCTGGGGAGCAAAGGGAACACAGGGCCACCATTGCCCCGGCGTCCCCGAGCCCAGGCTCCTCAACATGCCTCTGCGCCGGGCTGTTTCCCTGCGAGTCACACGCTTGGCTCCGCGGCCTCGGAGGCAGGGAGAGAGGGGCCAGGAGGAGGGAGCCAGCACAGTCTGTTTTCCCCTCTGCGCCACCAAGGAATTTCATTTGCGTGGAGCAGGGACTATGGCCTTCCAGCACGGAGCGGCTCCTGCATCGCTGCGTCGCTGCGCCGTGCCAAGGCAGCCACCGCGGGCCAGGAGCCGTCCTGGCAGGGTCAGCATGCCCCGGGGCATGGGCAGCTCCGGGGAGAGGGAGTTGAGTCTGGCACGGCAGTCACAAGGATTTAAGGGGCAGAAAAGGGTGCACGACACCACACAGGCTTTGTCTGCGATAAAGCAGATCCTCCCCTGGAGCTGAGCAAATTAGGGCTTCTGGAGTCCATGAAACAGCTTATTCTTTAAGAAAAAAAAAAAAAAGCAGCACAGAGAAAGCCACATCCCTGGCATTTTTCATGTGGACCAACTTGGAAAATTCTGCGATGTTTGGCACTTCTGGTAGCTCTACTATGGCATAATGCATTTTGGTGTTCAAACTCGAGCCAGCCAACGCGTGCCTTAGGCGATCATCACCTGCAGGAGCACATGATGTGAGGACAGGGATGTACTGTGCTCACGTCTTCATGTTCCTCAGAGGTTGGAAAAAAGCCGGCCTGTGTTGTTGAAAGACTGTAAAAGGAGGCACCTCTGCAGGCTGAGACCTCTCCGGAGCCAGAAGCATCTGGGTTGGGAGCATCTGCACTGGGAGGCGTACCCATGGCGCTCCCGCAAATCCTCCTCCCTCGGATAAACCCTGAACCAGCCCCGTGACTCCAAGCAAACTTCAGACAGAGACACGGCAGCCCGCTGGGAAAAGGTGTGGGGGGTGTGTGCATGTGAAAAGTAAACAAAATAGAAATGCTCCACCACCCTCCTAGAGCTGTCCCCGCGCTCCAGCAGGTCTGGACTGTGGACACCGAGCGACCCTGGTGTGTGCAGGCACAGCAAGCACGCAGCCGGACACAGCATCACCCGTGTCCACCGGGGGACGGAGGAATTCACAAACCCACACTCCGGGGGTGGGGGTGTGTGTGCGGGTGGAAGTAATGAATGCAAATTCCAAGTTAGGTAAACATATCTAGTGAAAGCTTGCTCTGGCACGGGGAACTAATATCCTGTTAAACCAGTTGAAAAGGTCACTGGTGATCAAGAGACACTCCCTCGTGCCAGTGTTGACAGGACACCAAGACAGATGGTTTAAAGCAGGGAGCGCTGAAGCCTGCACGGCGTCGGCGTGCCAGCGTGCGAACTGCAGCCAGTGCGGCGTGCGCGGACGGGCTCTCTCCTCCACAACACTTTCACACCAGTATGAACAGCCCCGGGCTTTGGGAAACTGCTTCGCTGCCTTCCTGTGGCCCTGGGGAGGGCTGGGGGGGCACACAAACATGGTCAGGGGTTTTGGGCTCGTGTCAGGTTTGCAGAGGCGATCACAGCCCTGTTAGGGACCACTGCCTCCAACGTGGGGGTAATCACAGGCTGAGGAGCATTTTGAGAGCGGGTTGTCTTGCAGAGGCAAGAAAGGAGGTGCACGTGGGTCCCTTCTGCCCACGGCCCCGGGGAGCTCTCCCTTTCGCGACGTCCAGCGCGAGCCCTGCACAAGGACGTCCCAGCGCGAGCCCTGCACAAGGACACGCTGGGGCTCAAAGCCTATAGGTGATGCTCCAACAGCAAGAAGAAGGAAAGGAGAGAATAAAATAGCTCAGGACACACCATTCATCCCATGATTGTATGTCATTTTCAATGGATAACCCGAAGCACAGAGGAGCTGCTGGCAACTCGGGGCTGTGCGAGCACAGAAATGGGTCTCTGGCTGCAGAGGTGTGAGGACAAGGTGAGAGCTGCCACGAGAGAAGAACGATGGCAAGGGGGAGCAGGAAGACTGAGACAGCCTTGGGTCAAAACACACCAAGAATGAAGCACAGATCATGCGTGGAGCTCTGCACCCGGGGTCCGGGTCCTCCTCTGGGGTGCAGAGCTTCTGGGGCGCTTTCCCTTCCTCGCCAGCGGGGAAACTCAGCTTCTCTCCCAGGAGACCCAGGAACAGAAACTGCCAGGGCTGCGTACGCTTCCCCCAGGCCCACAGCAAGCGGGACTTAAGGAGAGGAGGTGAGTGGGAGCTCCTGCCCCTCTCGGCACACTGCGGCTCTGCAAATGGTTCTCTGGGATTACCTCCAAAACGAGCACCCTAAGTGACCCCCACAGCCAGGACCTGGTCTGCTCTGGCAGCGAATGGAGCCGAGCAACTTCAGAGTCCAAAACCATCAAATTTTGTTTTTCTAAAGAAAAAAATACTTTGCAAAGAAAAGTGCATTTTCAAATAATATTGTTCAGCAAGACAGCTGTGTGTTCTGCACGGAGAAGTAGCGTAGTGCGGTGACACTCCAGCTGTGTTTGCCTAAATCCACACGGGGAACTTTACACTGCGCTCAAAACGGCACGTTATGGTGCCCAGCCCCACGACGAGCCTTGCTGGCAAGCCTGTGTCTTGTGTGAAATGGAGCCGCTTATGCAGTGGTTACTCGCAAGTCCTCATGCGACTAAGCGCAAGAACTGCCAGAATACCCCAAAAGACACTGGGAATCCACACGTGGATTCTCTCTCAAAGACAGAAAAATTTAGTTTCCTTTTGGCTCGCCAGTAGGAATGGTAAAGCAGCAGGTAGCGATGAGGCTGAGGGGCGCAGGGAGGAGCGAGGCCCCGTGGTGGGGCATCCTCGGTACGGCAGCAGAGCAGGAAACCCAGCGGTGGCTGCGGCCGCACCATGCCTGCACTGCGCAGATGGTGCCCGTGGCGTGGCAGCATCCTTCAGCGGGTGCTGGATAGATCTGGCATAGCCCGATGAGGAAGGCTTTACCCCATGTCCACAATCACCCGACCGAGGAATCACAAACACCCAGCGACTGCAGCCCCGACCCCTGGTATCTCCTGCCCAAGCCCCAGAGGGGAGAGACCGCCCTGGCGCTACAGGCACCCATGCGTTTGCATGGGATGCACCCAGCCCGGTCAGTGCCAGGCACGTGCGCAGGATCAGGCCCCCACTGACCGCAAAGCCCCAGGGACCACAAGGCAGGGGCTTACCCAGCAGAGCCTGGAAGAGTTCACTTTGAAAGATGTGCGAGACTTTTCCAATGGAGGCTTTTAGCTCCTGCTCCTCCGGGGACCGCAGGGTGCTTTGGTATCTGGTCAGAATCTCCACTGCCCGTTCAGTGTCTGCAGAGACAACACAGGAGTAACAAGGCATTAACACCAAAGGATGGAGAGACATCTTCAGGGAAGGCTGGAGTGCAGCCTTGGAGCAGTGCAAAGGGCTCATCTGGATAACGCTTCAAGTTACCCTCCAGCTCTGGATTTTTAAGAGTCAGACAGCCACAAAACAAGCCTCCTTACACAAGCCTGTGAGAGCTAACCCTACTGTGAGGTGCAGAGGGGCCATGGCGGAGAGTTGGGCAGGGGCTGGAGGGGAGGTGGTTCTGCCTGCCGGCCCTCCTCGACCCTGAAAATCGGAGGCTAAACCCAAGTTGACTCACCCCCGAACCCCATGGCACTGGGCAGCCCGGGAGCCTCTGCCACCTCCCAGGCAGAGAAGCCGTTCAGGAGCTGGACACGTCCCGGCTGCACAGGGCTATGAGGACTACCACGGGAGTTGCAGTCTCCCACGTGGGGCCAGATGGCTGCAGCAAAGCTGAGCATAGCCCCACTCACATAGCAGGAGATGCTGCAAACAGCTCAGCTACAGAAGCGGCAAAACTTGGGTTTCTACAGGGCGAAGCATAAGTATTGCTCCACGCAGCCTTGGGTCAGCCAAGGAAAAAGGGAAAGGGATGTGATGCCGTGGGGTGAGGGAAGGAGGGACGCTGGCCAGGAGGGGAGCTGGAGGCTGCCATGAAGCAATGCTTTGGTTAAAGAGTGGGTTCACTGCAGCTCCAAGACAATTTTGGACCTCAAATAGCGGAGCTGTGATCTCTCTGCGCCAGGACACCTCCGTGCTTCCCTGGGCACACAGCTGGAGCTGCCAGTCCAGCCCTAGCCCCAGATGGGACCCATCTCGCAGGCGGGTGGGGAGCTCCCATGGACCTTGAGCCTGGCCCAGCCCTGTCAGTGAATATTTCCCTTTGTCACCCAGGCAGCCCGCAGACAAAGAGCGTCTGTGTGAGGAGGCGGGGGAGCCGTCCAGCCACTGTTGGGGACTCATCTTTTAACCCAGGAACTCATGCAGAAAGGATGACCCTGCTCATCCCAGGGCTCTCGGCAGGGAATTCAGGTCATGGGAGAAGGGGGGCTGTGTCTGCTAGGGTGCGTGCCACCTGCTGTCCCAGCTCCCGCAGCCAGTTCCCCTCCCAGCTCCTCCATGGCTGAAGGGGGTCCCGATTGTGTCGCCGGCCCACACTGACTCATCCTGGGAGCAGAACAGAGAAGGGAGCCTGGGGAAGCGTGAATTGCTCCTGCTTCAGAGCTGGGCTCCACGCTGGCTCCGGGAAAAACATGGATGTCCCCAAGCTCCAGATTTATTGGGCTTTATGGACATCCCAGCTCTGTGTTATCACTAAGGGCTTCCTTTTCTGCAAGATCAGACAGCGGCTTCAGACGCTGCCCAGCATCCCGCGAGCAGGGTTGAGTCATCTTCGTCTGGTCATTCCTGACCTTAGCAGCAGGAGCTGAAGAAGCAGGTGGAGAACAAGGGCCACCACACCAGTACACGAGACTAGGAACCTGGTGTGACCATCCCACCCCAGTCCAGGCTGGACAGAAAGAGCGGCACGCACCCTGTGCTGATGGCCACCGGCACCAGGTGACGGGGGGGCTCTGGCAGGGCGTGCTGTGCCCCCAGCACAGGGTGGGGACCAGAGCACCCTTCCTGCAGCACCCAAGGAACGGCACGTGATGTCTGGGGCCCATCTCAAGGTACAAGTCCCGCTTACAGGAGGTCGTTCCTCGCAGGGCCCACACCCCCACACCCGCCCTTCCCTCAGCACCCAAGGGTGCTGCATGCACGGCATCCTGCGGCCACCCGCTCCGAGCCACAGTGGCCCCTGAACAGCCCACAGCCCAGGGCGGGCACGTAGTTGGGGTACCCGGTCCTCAGGTCTCAGCCCCGGGGGTGCACCGGGCAGGGGAGGGAGGGAAGGAGGTGCCCGGCAGGGGCGCGGGGGCACCGGGGGCTATGCCGGTGCCGGTACCGGCAGGGCAGACACTTGTTGAGCGCGGCGGTGCTCGGTGCCGCGGGCAGAGCGGGGCAGGGCAGGGCGCTCCTTACCTTCCCGGCGGATCATCGCTCCGCCGCGACCGGCGGCCGCTCCGCT